CCCCCCCCAGCGCCGTGTAGCCCTCCCTCCGGCAGCGGAAAAAAAAGGCACATCGAGCCCCAGCCAAGAGTGTCCCGTCGGCGCGCGGCAGCTGCCAACTTCTCCTTTTGCGTCCTGCGGCAACCGGGGAAAAGAAACCAGAAGAGGATTCGCGAGAGCCGCCGCCGCCGCCACAACAAAGGGCTTGACGCGCTCCCTCGGTCGTCGGACAGCAACCTCGCCCCGGTCCCTTCCACGTCTCGTCGACTTACCGGGAATTGGCAGAGCCCCCTTCCAACCTACAGCCCCTGGTCCAGGGGACCCAGCCTGGGCATCTGCGCGGGCATCTCTCAGGGAAGGCGGCCGGGCAGCCTCCCGCTGGAGCGCCACTCTGCCATCCTCATCCAAGCCCCCCAGCCCTCAAGCGGAGCGGCTCCCCCGACCCATTGTTAAAGGGCTCAGCAGGAGAGTCTGTGTACAAAGACAGGGAGCCAGACACATGCGGCCGCGCCTCTGCCAATCGGTTCTCGCCTTACAGGTCTACGTCAGCCGCGGCCGCCAATCACCGCGCAGTATCCAGAAGGGGCACCCCATTACATTACCCCGATGCTACCACAGGCGAGGAAGTTTTGGACCAATGGCATTGCCGTAGCTGCTCAGACTAAAAAAAGAAGGGGAGGGAGGCGGAGGAGGAAGGGGCGCGGTCACGTGGGACAGCTCCATGAAAGTGCTTTTAAGGGTGCTTAGGTGAAAGGTGGCGGTTGCTTTTCATAGCGTACTGTCGGGGGTTTGATTAAGAGTGGGTTTCCAATAATGAGTATTCCTAGAAAACAATAAACGAAGGAACGAATGTGTGTAGTGGGAGCAGCAAGCAGGCCGATTGCATTTCTTCCCGTATTGAATAACTTATGCATTATATTTTGAACACCGTGAGTCTTGCTAAGTTTAGCAAAAAGGCTATAAAGGAAAGCGCGCGCGCCCTCGAAGAAAGAGTGAAAAAAGCAATGGGCTGATTCTGCTGCAGCTTTTGCGTGTCGAGGAAAGGCTAACGAGTGACTCAAGGTTGGACACGTGGGCTGATGGCCTTGCTCTTTAAACTCTAGAAGTTGCGAACTGTCTGATAAACTTTCCCCACCATCGCTCAAGGTCTGAGTCTGTGTATTCTTCCTAAGTTTTTCCCACATTGATATTTCACTCAGCGTTATACAATGAATGTGTAAGTGTTACTCTCTGGTGCTTATACACATAAAGTGGTGTGATTCAATGCAAAACATAGTTCGTATGCTTAATTAGAGACCTAAAACTAGTTTGTATTAAATAATAGCATGTGGACACAAATGTTATTGCAAATGATTATGGAAAGCAATATGAATATTTAGACTGCCACCCTATGCACATTTCCTTGATAGTAAAGCTCCACTGGTGGTAAGTACCACTGCGTCAAATAGACATCTGAGTAAGCATCTCTTGGATCGGGCTGCACCTTATTTCCTTGATGTAGGCAGATGAATTCTCTGTGCTGATGTGGAAGAAGTTTTAGGTCAGTATAGCAGTTTGACAGTTGTAGGTTTTCTGTCACAAGGCATAAGGTGTTACCCACTTGTATTAGAAGAATATGATTGCTTGATAGCGACCTATTTTGTCACTTTGGAGAAAAAAGCAAAAGGGAACCTGTATTTCCTAAATTCATACATGCTAAATCCCATTGAATTCAATAAGGTATGCATGTACAGGATTGGCCCAAGCTGTTTTGTTGCACCATGCTATCCAAGAGATGAGCAGACAGTAATTTTCCATGAGCAATTCTATAACACAGCATTTTCTTTGGTTCTGTATTGAAATCCTCACTGCATAAAACTGTGAAACCATGCTGATGTAAATGGTCAGAGCTCACTGCTAGTCAGAATTTTTCAATATTTAATTACTAGGTAAATTGAGGGTGGTTGGTATTCACTTGGACTAGGGCCTTTAAAGCAGCTGTTTAATGCTCAACGACAGGATACTTTTATTGCTTTAAAAACATCTGTGCACCTCACAGTGAAGCAGGTATTTAAACCATCTCCAAACTGGGAAAACATATTGTCTGACAAGGTTTCATCTATAACATTCCAGATCACTAGAGAGTACTTGAAGAAACATCTAATAAACAACTTGGTGGTAAACTAGGCTGGCACAGAGAACAGAGAAGTCAAAATGTAATTCTCATAAATGCTTTCTAGAGATTTCCTCAGGATGCAGGAGGTGCTTTATTTGCATTACAGAGGCAGTGACACAGTCTCTTGAGGATTCATAAGTACCACCTGGATCACTAATTCTCTGAGCTATTTTAAAAATCCATGGGGCAAAAAGTACTTGGGCTTTTCAGTGACTTAAAAAAAAAAGAGTGTGTGGTCTCTAAAAAGTCAGGGGAGAGCAGTATTTCTAAGAGTAGATTATGAATGAATGAAATGACTGGAACAAATGACCATGTTGCCAGTCCAAATGCACTCGAGATCAGAACAACAACGACAAAAAATCCAAGCTGAAGCTGTGCTAATGGTGCAATCTTGAACATGTATACTCAGAAGTAAATCCCACTCCTCAGTAAGTGTTCTTAGAATTGCTGGCAAAGAGAGACAATGAGGGCATGTTAGAAAACGTGTTCCTCTGAGGCCATTTTTAAATAAATACAAAACCTTTTCATAATTTACTTCTTTGCTATGGAAGTGTGGTTAATAGTGGCATTTTGTGGCATACACTTTGGATTCCTCTGCTGTGTGTGACTATCATATCTACACAAGTATGAAGTTGATGGTACATGTACTCTGATGAAAGGGAATGCAGTGAGATGCTGATTTCAGTTTTGCTGTTGAACTTGACTCCCTGTAGCTCAAATGTGGAAGGCTGCCATCATCTCCTCCATTAACAGTGCAACCTTTAGCATGTATGCTCTAGTAAGTTTGCTTGCAATGTCAGTCTAAATGTGTAGAATGTTACAGTTTGGAAGATGTTTTTATTTATAATCTTTCTGGATTAAAGAACGTGTTTAGGGTGATGATTTCTCTTTGTAAAAATTGCAGACTTGCAGATGTTTTAGCCATGAAAATGGCTATCATCAAACACTTGGTACTCTTTGAGAATGCTATTTGAATTTGTAAAAGGGAAGTGCATTTTATTTTGTTGGTTTCTGAACCACCTTCTGGCTAACCATGGTTCCCAAGATGCTTTGCAACAAAATATTTTAAAACTTCCTGAATGTCTGTGGATGTCTAACAGTGGCACTCAAAGTAGCATTATTATAATTAGCTGCTGTTGCAAGGACTGCAGTTATAAACTTTCAGCTATTTGCCATAGATCTGTCCTCTAGCTGTTAGTACTGGAAGATGCATATGAGCAAATGGACGAAAGCTTATCATCCGAGAAACCAGCAGTGTTGGCTTATCTGTCCCAGCATTACTGTCTTGCCATTTGCAGAAGGCCTATGCAGCAAACAAAGGATTGGCGATATTGATCAGCAGAATATGTATGTGGTTGTTCATGGACTTTGTTCACCTTTAACCTTAGAACTGAACTTTCCAGTATGTCAGAGGTGTGTGTACCATGTAAAAACCTCAAGTGTATCAAAATATAGGAAAGTTTTTGCATTCCTG